TAGGAGCATTAAGAGGAGAAATTTACCTCATAATGAAGGAGTTTTAACGATGGAATATAATGCTTCGTTGAATAATATTTTCCGACGCATAGGAAAGGCCCAGAACAAAAGAATCGTATATAAAAGAACCCCCACCACGTACCAACTATTACGATCTGATAAGGATTTAGTGGATAGAAGAACACTCCCCGGGGTATATAAAATTCCAGTCACAGACTCAAGGCGACGAAGTAAATTAATGTATGTAGGGGCAACAGGAAGATGTATCAAAGACAGGTTAGCAGAACATCAAGCAAATATAAGAAAAAAACAACCATGCACTGCGCTAGCCACCTACGTTCTAGCGGACCAGCAAGACGTCAAAGTTGAATGGGACCAAGCAAGACTAATGCAGATAGTCCGCGACAAGAAACACCGGCATTACGCGGAAGCCTGGCAGATTTGTAAGGCAAAGCATAAAGGCCTTGCAGTCAACTTTCGGGAATCGACAAAAATATCGGCAGCATGGTCCTCTAGCTTAATATAAACTTAATAATTGAGGGAAGTAGTTACTATGTATCTTAGGCTACGTATTTTTAAATGACGTAGGGAGATGGTAACTATATGTATTTATATTTAGATATTTATGTAATATTTTTATATTTCCGTTGCTAAGTTCACAATGACGTCATTTGCAACGGATTATGAGCTAGTTTGAAAATATTCGAAAAACGTGTTAACTGTACTAAGCATTCGATTTACAATTTGTTGTTGTATTTGATTTATTTTCTTGAGAAAGGTCTTTTAACAAAACCGAAAACGTTAGAAAGTTTCTCTTATAAACTTCGGCTGCAAGAAAAGGTGTTTTAGTAAGTGTTTTGATATTAGTATTAAATGATTGTACATACTTACAATGTAATGATGTTTAATAATAAAAGTAAAATCAATAAATTTAAAACTTGTATCAATCTTCATAAACTATTAAGTTAGTCCATAAGTTTGTGTGTATTTTTATTATCTACCAAAAAAAATTTTTTTAATTAAATTTCATTTCAATCTATAATGCATTCATCACTATAATGTTTTGTATAATGCGTTGTCATGTTTTTAACTTTGTTTTCATAAAATGATTTTGATTTTGAATCAAAATATTCAAAAATAGCATTTTTGACACTACAGTAGTACCTCAGGATATGAAATTAATCCGTTCGTAAGGTGAATCGTTTTTCCTCATATGATTACATGTAAAACCAAATAATCTGTTCCAACACAAAAAACACACTCAAAATAAAGCTAAGTATTGAATAGTACATTAAAAAAAATAACTTTAGTAAGGAAAAACACTGAAAAATGCATTTTGTCGTCGTAAATGCATAAATAACCATAATAGAATAATAATTGATAAAAGAAAATGTAGTTTTATTTGCACTTTACCTTTGAGGATAGATGACGGTGGAGGTGTAACCTGGTGGCGGAGGAGAGGGAGAAGGGAAATGACACTAAAACTTAACTTACATAACATAATGTAACAATAACTTAAAAATAACTTAACACTAATTTTTTTATCTCTTCTATTTTATATATTTTAAAAAAATTTATATTCACTGCTTTTTGCTTTCTTTCCTTCACTTCCACCAGCACTTTCACTGGACAGAGGTTGCTTGGTAAAATATCTATCCAAAGAGGTTTGGCTTTGCCTACTTTTTAAAATGTTTCTAAAATGACTTAGGCAAATGTCATTACTCCAAGCAACAATACGGCCAGTGTGAACCTTTTTGGGATGTTTCTTTTCAATAAAATCAGTCACTTTCTGATAATATCTCAAGATTTCCTTTATTTCTGTGATTATGGCGGTGGTGCTGCAAACTAATGTAATATCACATGGTGAGTTTTTGTTCGTACCATGGAGCAAAAATATGTTCGAATTTCATGTCGTATCTTGAAAATTTTGTATGCTGAAGCGTTCATAGATAGAGGTATTACTGTATTCTCATTCTCAAAATTTTTCCCTTTTAAAAAGTTCTACAAACCATGAAAAAGTTGATAATCACTGGAAGCAATATCTGGCAAACACAATGGATGAGGCAAAATTTCCCAATTGTAGCTTTTGAATTTTTGAAGTGTGTGTTGTGCATTGTCATGTTGCAAGAGAACCTGCTTTCTGTTAACTAATGATGGTTGATTTTTTTTAACACTCTAATTTCTTACAATAAATTTGAATTGTAATTGTGTGATTTAGTTTTAAAAGTTAGTCCAAAGTGAATTAAGCCTGACATACCTTATCAAACAGACAAAAGCATTTTAAGCATTTTTGTTTATGCAACTCACCTGTTATAGTCAGTTTTGGTTGCTTGTTGCAATTTGTCCATTCTTTTCTCATCATACTATTATTATACAGGATCTAGTTCTCAGCTCCAGTAACCAGCTGATCAAGAAAATGTTCTAATGTAATTCAGGATAAAAGATTGCAAATGTTTAAACATTGTTATATTTGACAGTTTGTGATACCCATTTTCCAAGCTTTGAAACTTTTCCAATCTCGTGTAGGTGTCTATAAACAGTTTCATGGGATGAATTTAATAAATGTTCTGCAATTTCATCAACTGTTAAAAATGGTTCTGCTTCAACTAGTGCAGCATTATTATCAAAGTCAACTGGTCTTCCTTTATGAGTCTTATCCTTCACACTAAAATTATTGTTTTTCTAAATCTTTCAAACCTCTTTTGTGCAGTCCTTACACTAATTACAGTTTGACTATGTACAGTACTTTTTTATTTTTTGCTGCATTCCTACCATTCTCACCACTTAAAAAAAAAGTATAAAACATGTCTTTTATACACTCTAGTGTAAAAAAATATGCTTTTACACTTGTGTTTTTAACAAGAAGAAAAGATTTTTCTCAAGATTATAAAAATGTACTGGTACATGAACTTATAGACTGACCTAATATAATTCTACTATAATGGAAGAATTACCACACACCAAATCCAAATGTCTAGGCAAAAAAATTCTGATCAGGAAATCAATACCACTTTTGTGTTTTTGTTAAAAGAAAAATAGTCTGGAAAAGATAGCAGAAACTTTACAATTNAAATATGCTTTTACACTTGTGTTTTTAACAAGAAGAAAAGATTTTTCTCAAGATTATAAAAATGTACTGGTACATGAACTTATAGACTGACCTAATATAATTCTACTATAATGGAAGAATTACCACACACCAAATCCCTAATATTTTCAAGCTTTTTGGCTTATCATCAAAAAGCAAAACAGCAAACAGTACAGTACATTGAAAGAGAAAGAACTCTATTAAATTTATAAGTCAAACTGTTCTAAAGTTCCACTGAAATCCAAATGCCTAGGCAAAAAAATTCTGATCAGGAAATCAATACCACTTTTGTGTTTTTGTTAAAAGAAAAATAGTCTGGAAAAGATAGCAGAAACTTTACAATTAGTTTTCTGCCCAGGAGTTGGAATTTAATAGAATTTTAAAGAGTTTGATTTTTAAATCTGATAGCATTCTAGTTTTGTTTTTGTTTGAGATGTTTGCTGTTTTGCCTCTTGATAGTGAGCTGGATGGCTCAAAAGTATTTGGAACTTGATGTGCAATACAGTGGTACCTCAGGTTACGAACGCCCGAGCATACGAAATTTTCAGGATACGACATGAAATTCAAACATATTTTTGCTCCACGATACGAACAAAAACTCACCATACGACGTTACGTTAGTTTGCATTTTTCATTTGTTTTTCTTACTACAGTTATTTTTTTTTAATGTATTACTTGGCTTTAGTAGTTTACATAAGTCAGCATGGACTGCAAAGTTTATAATCAATATTAAAATTATATGTAAGTAATGTAAAAAAACCAAATATTTCNTAGTTCGCATTTTTCATTTGTTTTTCTTACTACAGTTATTTTTTTAATGTATTACTTGGCTTTAATTTGAGTATGTTTTTCGCGTTGGAACGAATTATTTGGTTTTACATGTAATCGTATGGGAAAAGATGATCCACCTTACCACATTTTCATGATACGATCTCAATTTCGGAACGGATTAATTTCGTATCCTGAGGTACCACTGTACTTCTTTGGTTGTTTCTCTATTAAAGTAGTAGTATTAGGAATCACAAATTAAACAACAAAAAATTTATTTTTAAAGTTTAATTTTTATTTTTAATCTACAGTTGGTTTTTATTACTTTGTATGTTTTCAGAAATATTTATTATTATTTAAATTATATTTACAGACGTTCAAAAAACAAATTGAATTAATTGGAAGCATAACAGAAAGATGTCTTCCAGAGTTCTTAGAGAAAGAGTTAATGGTAAAATTTTAAAGAAATCTACAAGTCACTCAGTTCAAGTAGGCGGAAAAGAAAATGTTTCAAATTTGAAACAGGATGGTTTTGGTACTGCAAAGTTTTATGGTCCTAATAATGATATTGAGTTATCTAATATAAAGAAAGAAAGACTGAGAAGATCAATTAAATTATCACAAGAGTCCAAAGTTCAGAATAAAACTGAAAATAATAAAAAAAATGTAAAGCAAAAAAATACTAAGAATATTAATAAAAAGAATAACAATAATAATGAACATAAATCCAAAGAAACTGAAGAACAGGTACCGGTACCTAAGAAACGTTGTAAATTTGAATTTGAATCTAGTAGTGTTGAAATAAGTAGTGAAGTGATAACTTCACCAAGTTTATCAAAAAATCTTTCAAGCAACATCTGCATTGATCCTGTTGACACTGGTAAAAGATTTTTTCTGTCGAAAAGATCTTCATCTAGCTTAGAAGGAAAAATGATAATGGCCGTTAACAAGGGACGATTCCATTTAGAATTTAAGAGGGGAACTGTTAAAAAGAATGCAAATAAAAAAACAAATACAAAGTCGAAGAAGTCACAAAAGCTGAAAAAAGTTCCATTAACAGTAAATATTAAATCTGTATCTCATAACAGAAGAAAAATTGAAGCAAATAACAAACAAACTTTGTTATCAAATCCAAATGACTTAGTTGCTATGAAAGGAACAAATGACATTCCAGATAAAGAAGTCAAAGATACCAATCAACAGTTTCTTGCTGATGAAATTTTAAATGACTACACAATAGCTTCTGAAAATGAAATCATTCCCATTAGCATTTCTAAGAGAAATAATAATCTTGTCAAGACTAGTACTCCAATCAAATCAACTATTTCTAGGAAATTACAATTGGATGAATTTTCTAACTTACCAAAAATTAGTGAAGATCCAAGTGTCATTTCAAATGTAACTGCTGTGGTACATGAAAATTCAAAACTTGATTTGGATCAGGACATAGCCAATGGTAAAATTTTTTTAATTGAATTACAGAAATTACTTTGGTATTTAAGATTAAACATTATTATTAATCATTTTATATTTTATCTGTTTACAATATTTTTTTCAACTATGATTGCTTAAATTTAAATTATTTAAATATGATTTAAACATTATTTTTTTAAGTCAGCAGCCTTTATGTGATAAAACTATTGGGTTGATGCAAAGGTTTCTGGAATTTTATAGTTTTATCATACAATACTTATGCCAAAAACAAAAAATACTTTATTCAAGAAAAGAATTATCATTACATTCAAGCACTTTCTTTCATCAGTTGGGCGAGTTGTAGATTCCTGTGCCGAATAACACTCGCTGTTTTGACTTAAAAGACACTGCAAGTGCAATTTTCATCTCATCATCAACAAACTGCTTTCTATTAAAGAAGTGCTGCATGGAGTGGAAGAGATGATAGTCAGTTGGTGTGATGTCTGGGCTATACAGTAGGTGAAGGAGAACCCTCTCAGCAAAGATCAGGGGCTGTATTCTGGTCATCGTCTCTCACAAGCCAATTGCTGATTGGCTAATCATTTGTTTACGTCTCAAGAGATTATCGCATCTCTCTAAACACGATTCTGGACAACTTTTTCTCTTTTCGCTTCTCTCATTTATCAGAGACGAGTGGATAGTTGTCTTTCGACCAGTCTATCGTCTTTTGCCTCGATTTTGTTATATCCAATATGGATGACTGTGTGCTACTCGCGCTGTACAATTGTATTAGAGAACGTTCTCTATCTCAGGAAAGAATACTTTGAGAGAGAAATGCTTCTGATTTTTTTTCCAGCGCTTACTCAGAAACGTCACTGATTCCATTTTCTTTTCTTTTCTTTTTTTATTTTTTATTATCCTACATCAATTATTGAACTATCGAATATGATGATAACCTTACTTAGATAGTTAAGGAGAAATTAGATGGCAATACAGTGGTACCTCGGTATATGTCTGCTTTAGAATACGTCCAATTTGGAATATGTCCTGTTTGGACGAAACAAATTTTGCTTGGTATACGACTTAATTCAATTATACGCGCCATCTATGAACAAGTAGCACTATCGGTGTACTAGACCAGACTAGACATTTGCAGTGCAACAGTTTATAACTTTGTTAAATTTCTTCTCATTTTAATTTGTAAGTAAAATTTTATTATTTTTATTAATCATGAATTGCAAAAAGGCAACAGAAAACTAATAAAATGACTAGGATCACAATGGAACTGATAAAAGAAATTGTTGAGAAATATGAAGGTGGCATGTATGTTCGAGATTTTAACTGTTGCATACCGTATTCCGAGAATGACAATATCGACAATCGTGAAAAATAAAGACATTATTAAATCTGTTAACGTTGCGAAAGGAGTTAAATCAATTTCTAAACAGAGATCAAAGACATTAGATCATGTTGAGAAATTGCTTTTGCTTTGGATAACTGAAAAACAGTGTGCTGGAGACAGTGTATCAGAAGCAATTATTTGCGAGAAAGCTAAAATGATACATGCTGATCTCATGAAAAATCAAGCAGGAACTAGCCAGGAAAGCGAGGTGTTAAAGCCAGCCATTTTTTTTCACATGAGAATGGATTAATTATTTTTACATTACTTCTTATGGGAAAGGTTGGTTTTGTATACGTCCAATTTGGTATAAGTCCAAACATCAGGTACTGATTAAGATCGTATACTGAGGTTCCACTGTATTTCAAAAAATATCTAAGATATTTTTCGAAATACAGTGGAACCTCAGTATATAACCTCAGTTCAAAAAACTCAGTATAAAACCTCAGTTCAACCTCAGTTCAAAAAATATTTTTCGAAATACTTTCGAAAAATATTTTTAATCGGATATTTTTGTGTTTTTTTAAGGACTGTTTGGCGGCCAGTAGCCTAAAAAGAAAGGTCAGTCGCCAAAAGTGTAATGTCTGGAACACAAAGTTAATAAATGGTGGTTCCTATACTTTTTTGGAAAGGACTTTGTCTTCAAAAGAATTAATTAATTATAATTATCTCCGTCGGACAAAAATTTACAAAAAAATCTTAGAACTCACACTTTTCTAACTTAGGTTATTAAAATTTTTATTTGTTAAGAGTCAAATTGACATTACAATCTAAAAACGTTATAAAACAAAAAAAAAAAAAAAAAACCATTATTTTGTCAAAATTGTGTGCTTTCCTTGCTATGTGATCAATGATTATGTAGTCCACATTTTCAAAAATTTTACAATTTTATTGGTTAAAATTCTATATTGTATTGCACATGCAGATAACCCGAACATGTATAATCAACCGAATAGAATTGTGACGTCGTCAACAAAGATGAGATCGTTATGGACAACCAGAATCGCCACTGTGTATGAGAGATGAATTTCGTCTCTCGCTTTGACGTCATTCATCAGTGAAAGAAGAGACGAGAGATAAGTGACCGGAATACGGCCCCAGCTTCTGCCAGGTCAGTTTTGACATGTGTGGTCTTACATTGTCATGAAGAAAACACAATGTTCAGAAATAGATAAATAAATAAAACTCACGCCAAAATTGTATAGCCTTCTTGATAAAAAGCACTGAGTACAGCGTTAATCTTCCTTTAACTCCCCTACCCAACCTACGCAGGAGTATATGCAATGATCGGGATAAAGTCGACGTTTTAGAAAAATCAGGAATATACGCAGTGCAACTGGAAAATCCAATAACGGGAACAATTGAGAAGTATATAGGGGCAACGACAAGAATGCTCGCTTGCCGTATCGCAGAACATCAAGATGATATAAACAAAGGAAGACAGACCACAGAGCTCGCCAGAAAAGTTCTACAGCAGGACTATAACCCGTTATGGTCAAAAACAGCATTGCTCAGGAGCTGTAACAACAGAAGAATTACATTTATTTGGGAAGCGCTCCTTTCAATGACCACAGACGCATGCAACGTCCCCACACTCGACTTGCCCGAAATATGGGTTACTTTATACCAGCGTTTAAACAGCAAAAATTGCCAAGAGTCGCACAATTAGTACGATCGCTCCTCAACGCATGCGCTGCTAATCGTGTGGATTTAAGATATTTCGAACGCCAGCAAAAGCTTGTTGCACGTGACCAACGGAATTACCGAACGCTATAATTTAGAAATTGACAAGAAAATTTTTCCATTTTCTACTTGGAACATTCTGCACGTTCTAATTTTCAAATTTGTTCTTTTTTTGCCTGAAGACGACGATATAATACTCGTCGAAAGTACTTGTGATATAAGAAAAATCGTATTAACGCTGAACTCAGTGCTTTTTATCAAGAAGGCAACACAATGTTCATCTGAGAATGAACTATAGTGGACTGGTCTTACCATTTCTTGCATGGATTGACTTCCACTAATTGTCATAGTTTGTAATCCAATAGGATGAGCGGTCTTGACTTCATATTGTCCAGCTTTAAATTTACTGAGCCAATTGTAGATTGTACACTTGAGGACGATGTTTTGCCAAGCAATTGCACCATATATCAATAAAATTCAGTTGCTTTTATACTAAACTACTCACTTTTATACCAATTTGAACATGTGCAAATTGAAAAGAATTAGCAAACTTGACATTTAAAACATTGGTATTTCCACACAGACTATCTTTTTTCACAGACTATCTCAACCTCCTTCATTTACATGCTCCACAAGAAACTTCTAAATGCCATCTGTTAGAGAACAATTTTGAATATTCTAACTTTTGAATCAACCCAATAATAAGAAACATGTCTTTACTCAATGCAGATTGTTAAATATGCTAACATTTTTGGCTAGCCTTTATTAGTCATCATCAGGCTTTTAATGGAAATTTAAACAGAAACTAATGGAAATAACATTTAATGGATAGAACAAACATTGGTTTTTGTCAAATGTTATTTTCATTGGATCACATTTTTGGCTAATAAAGGTTAGTTGAAAATGTTATATTAAATAATTTCCAATGATTAAAGGTGTTTTTCTTATTACTATTTTTTTAATTATGAGAATATAATGATGATAATGTAGCAATTAGACATACAGAATGAATGAATGGTAAGCATTACATAAGGTGATTAAAAAATAAATACAGTAGAGCGTCGATTTTCCGAAAGTCAATCATCCGAAAGAATTCCAGTCGGCAAATTTAAATTTTCGCCAGTGCTGTGGCGCTTCAATCTTTGGCTATGTCTTGGGCTACTCAAATATTTTACGTTTTTGATACTAAATTAACATCTGAAGTATAATTTTTTATTGTTTTTATATTTTTCAATATATTTATTTTGTTTGTACAAAATAAAAAAATAATTTTTAACGATACAATAGTCTTTGTTAGGCTTAACATCGACGAAAATTCAACGCGAAGCGACACGCAACGGAAAAAAATTTCAACATCGGATACGTTAAACTATTTTTTCGTACATAAATTGGTTATCCAAAATATCAGTTATACGAACAACCCTAGTCCCCAATTGATTCGGAAAATCGACGCTCTACTGTATTTTAAAATAAATAGTCTGTCAGTGTTCAAAAATAAATTGTTCTTATGAAATAAAAGCTTTTTACTTTATAAGTAAAATAGAGGTGTCCTATATGCTACCTGAGATTTTAGGGTGCATATCATATTCTGCAAATAATTATTTGCAATAAATTACAACTAAAATTTTCCCTTGCTTAATATTTATTTAAAATACCATTAGTGTTAAAAACAGTTATTGTTATCATTAAACAGTTTCTTGAGATACGAGAAAAATTTCTCAAATTGCTTTCTTGAGAATTCTCAATCATAACCTGTAATTGGGAGTCTCAGAGACAACCTCTATTATTTCATCTTTGCTAAGAGCTTCCAGAAATCTCAGATTTTCTAATAGCAACTCCACTACCATAAAACCATTAAAGTTCTTATAGTAACTTCATTCAAATCAAAATGCTTACCTACAGATATTGGACCTTCTCCAGTGAAAGACTATTCATTTATTCATTCATTTATTGTTGTACAAATATAGTACAGACCGGTTCCGCATTGAGCATTACCGGTAAAGTGATGCTCAAACCGGTAAAGTGAAAGACTATCTAAAATTTGGATTTCAGTGTCTAAGAGACAGCTTTCCTTTTTGGCTTTTTTTTTTTTTTAGTTGAATTATCTAACACTAGCAGACCTTGCCACGCGTTGTTGTGGCTCAAAATGTATCTATTATAAATGTATAACACTTCCCCCGTGGGGGGGAAATTTTTCGAAAAATTTCTTCTTAGTGTACATTCTCTTGACGTACCCTATTAAAATGCAATCAAAAATGCAAAAACCCGCATCTAAAATAGTATAAATAGAAGCAGAGTTCTTTACTGTAAGCCTTAATCCTAACCATCTCCCTTCAGTGGGGGGAATTTTGACATGTATATTATATAAAAACACGTGCGTATTCGAATGCGGCGTTGTGTCAAAATTTCAAAGGAATTGGTAGGAACAAACAAACATTACATTTTTATTTATATAGATAGATAGAAGATGATCTGCTTTAGTTCATTTTCACAGAAAAGCATANTTATGCAATGACATATTTTTAAACTGAATAAAAAATCTGGGGTCTATCAAATTCCTCTAAAACATGATCTATCAGGAGAAGAGACTAGCTAGATAGGGACCAGAATGTTAATTTCTCACATTCTAGAACATCAGGAGGACATCAGAAACAGTAGACTGTCAATGGAATTGGCAAAAAGTGCTTGATCAAGATTATCAGCCACTCTGGACCCAAACAAAGTTACTCAAATTGTGCAACAATCGGAAAGAATTATTTATTTGGGAAAACCTCTACATATCATCTTTAACACCATGCAACACAACTCTTGAAATCCCACAAATATGGACAACATTATTCAAGCAATCTAATCTACATCTCTAGAACATCATTATTGCTTTCTACACGTATTTGGGGATATTACATCACTCATATTGCTGTTCAAAAAAATTTTTGAATTCTTATTCTATTTCAAATTCATGTTGGTATGCCATCCACGTGCTTCATATAATTTCATAAGTTGTTTGAAAGCTCAGAATTTGAAAACAGTTGTATTTGATATTCACCTGATGATGGTAGCTTTATGCTATCGAAAGTGTTTGTGAACTCATTTATACTCTAAAAGTCAATTTGTTCGAGACTGCATATTATTCAATACTAAAAGACTTACTATGACACCTTGTGAATGTGCAGCCCAAGTTTATTACTTCCAAACGTTTCGGTCATGTTAAATAACCTTTCTCAAGAAAAAGAAAAAAACAAAATAAACGAGAGGTTAAAAAAGAGTGTAAAAATCGAACGCTTAGTACAAATGCAAAAACAAATAGGTTTTTCGAATATTTTTGAATTATATTACATTGCAACTTTGTACATCATCTTTAACCTTGCAACCGGAAGTATAAACAGCATAAAATTACAGAAAATTAAATTACAATCTAAAAAAATAAGTACAGAGAGTTACCACCCCTGATCACCATTTTCACATAAATGCATTGTTTTATGTATATGGATGCATAGTATCTTTTTCTTTCTATTATTAAGGTTTATATTAAAGCTAGAGAACCATGCTGCCGATACTTTTGTAAATTCTCGAAAATTGATTGTGAGGCCTATATGGTTTGCTTTACAAATCTGCCAAGTTTCCACGTAGTGCCGGTGCTTATGGTCTTGAACCACTTGCAATACACTTGCTTGGTCCCATTCAGCTTTGACATCTTGTGGGTCCGCTAAAACAGCACAGTGCACGGTTGCTCCTTTCTTATATTTCCTTGGTGTTCTGCTAACCTTGGCTTTGATAGATCTTATACCTATATACATTAATTTATTATGTCGCCATGAATCCATAACAGGGATTTTATAGACACTGGGGAGTGTGTTTCTGTCTGCTTCATCCTTATATAGGCCTCGCAATCAATTTTCGAGAATTTACAAAAGTATCGGCAGCATGGTTCTCTAGCTTAATATAAACCTTAATAATAGAAAGAAAAAGATACTATGCATCCATATACATAAAACAATGCATTTATGTGAAAATGGTGATCAGGGGTGGTAACTCTCTGTACTTATTTTTTTAGATTGTAATTTAATTTTCTGTAATTTTATGCTGTTTATACTTCCGGTTGCAAGGTTAAAGATGGCATACATAAGTTGCAACAGAATATAATTCAAAAATATTCGAAAAGCATGTTTGTTTTTTGCATTTGTACCAAGCGTTCGATTCTTACACTCTTTTTTAACCTTGTTTTTTATTTTAATTTTTATTTTTCTTTAGAAAGGTCATTTAACATGACCAAAAACATTTGGAAGTAATAAACTTGGGCTGCACGTTCACAATAATGTGCAGTCTTGAACGAATGATTTGAAATTTTAAATCTATATGTGCGTGTAAATGTTTAATTCTAATTGGAATTTTATTAGGCTTATTTNAAAACATTTGGAAGTAATAAACTTGGGCTGCACGTTCACAATAATGTGCAGTCTTGAACGAATGATTTGAAATTTTAAATCTATATGTGCGTGTAAATGTTTAATTCTAATTGGAATTTTATTAGGCTTATTTTCAAAGAATTTAAAGAAAACAATAAATGTGTAATTCGTTCTGCATATTATTCAGTATTAAAAGACTTTTTCTTTAGAAAGGTCATTTAACATGACCAAAAACATTTGGAAGTAATAAACTTGGGCTGCACGTTTACAATAATGTGCAGTCTTGAACGAATGATTTGAAATTTTAAATCTATATGTGCGTGTAAATGTTTAATTCTAATTGGAATTTTATTAGGCTTATTTTCAAAGAATTTAAAGAAAACAATAAAATTTCTTATCATTTATTGGAAACACAGAAGACTGTAACTTAAGAATATGTCTATTGTTTGACATTTATTACACATATATGGCAAATTTAAGGAAAAATAATTTCGTTATACCAAAACACCAATTTAAAAATATTTGTTGTCGTAAAAGACTGATTAAAAGGACCACACAAAAACATTGAGTGGGCCGTGGGTTGGACATCACTGATTTAGTACAAATCATGTTTTATTTTATATGTATTTTCATACTGTCTAGAAATATTGCTACATCCATTTGTTGTTTTATACTTGGATTGTCAATGAGCAATGAAAACAGTCAAATTTTCAATGAATTCTTAAGGTATTTTCAAATTTTAGAAGAATTAGAGGTATTTGCAGTTTTTAGGGTTTTTTTTCTATATTGTCTTTCTTGGCTTTCTTAAATTGTGAAAGAATCACTTTTCTTCATGTTGTTTTTATTAGTACTGGTTATGGGGTAAAAACCAATGGCTTAACCTATTCGATGTTGTAATTTTTATTTGTTGCCTGTGACGCCATGTTGAATTTTTGTCGATGTTAAGCCTAAAAAATTTTTTTTTAATCATAATCGTGTTTACTGTGTTGTAAAAAATTATTTTTTTTTTATATTTCACAAACAAAATAAATACAGTCGACCCCCCCCCATAAGATCATAGATACGTTCCATTCTTTAGGAATCCGATTTCTTAAGAGTCCTTCCAATCACAGCCTGACACATGAGAAGTTTACGGACTACGGCTGATTGAAAGGTTTTCTTCCATAAAATTAATCGATTCTAGACTAATCCGACTCAACATTTCCAAAATACGTATATTTTTTGGGGGGGAATAATCTGTATAAACTANCGCGGGCCGTAAAAATTATTTGGCGGGCCGTATACGGCCCGCAGGCCGCCAGTTGGACAGCGCTGTTATACAGTATCTTCTAATGACCTGAAGAAGACGAAAGTGTGTATCGTCGAAAGCGCTTGTCGATTTAGTGACATACGTGTTTAATTTAACGCTTATATCGCAAAATTTTTTTGTAATAAATGATTAGCGTGCTGTCCATCACTATATTACAAACATTACCTCTTTATAATATTAGTATAGATTATGGTAAAGGCTTTTAAAAAAAATAAGTTGACATGGAAATGTATTATATGAATTATGCTGTGATTGTTGACTAATGTAACAATGTATTTAAGTAATTTCTATTTAATTTTTATGTTTTTCTTATTTCTCTTGATATTTGTATAAATGTTTTTATTCAAATTGAAATACCCAACATCACACTATATGTATTTACTATACAGTACATTTAAACTTTAAATGTTCTTCTATGTTATATTCTAATATCCATTTCATATGTATCCTGACAATGGCTGCTAGAACAGTTGAAAACATTTGACAAAAACAAAATTGCTGGTGAAAGCTTATCTGGAGATTTTTTTGAAAAATTAAGTAATTAATAAAAATCAGATGATGGAATTTCTTTCAACAATATTTTATAAATTTATGTTATGTATGCACATTCTTATTCAATTTTTTTTTATTAAACACCGAAATACCTCTATATTTAAATACAAAAACTATGACATTAAAAAGTTAAAGTGAGATAATGTTGAAGGGAATCCCTACAAATGAAGATTGATATTTTTCTTTTCAAAATTAATTGCAATTTCCTTTTAAAAGTAAGTAGCAATATTTTTGTTTTTAGAATTAAATTTTAAATACAGTATATAGTTTTTAGAAAGGCAACTCTTTGAAATGTTTAGATCAGAACAAATAACATAAAAAACAGAATTGAGTGTATTTTGTTTTTGAGAATTGTATTAAAATATTTAAAATTTTTCACTTAGTCAAGAATAAACCAGAAGAAATGAACCTGAATGCTTCATGTGAAGAAACAGCTGAAAAGTAAGTTATAAATATTTCATTGGTCTAACTTCTGCTAACAAATTTTGGAATAGGTTTTATTACACCACATTTCTACAACACACTTCTTTCAAAGTGTGCTCCTTTCACAGCTACACTTCTTCCCACATCCATACCACTTGTCAAAATGGCTCTAGAAGTAATTTTTTTTTGTGATGTCTTATGGGCTTTCATTGCTCTGACTTCTATTAGTCATTCCTGGTCAACAAATACCTGACCAAGAAAGGTAGATTTAACGGTGCATTTCCAATTTCCTTACTCCCATGATCTTATCTTTCAGACTTTTCTGTTCCTTTAAAATGAAAAATCTAGATTATGTTTCAGTTGGCAGTAAATGTGGAAGCCATAATGACAAAAGTTCTTAAAGATATCATGAAAAATGTTTTCCAAAATTGCTTTGATAAGTGGTAGAATTGTGAAAGAAATGTGCAGCAATAGGAGAAGTTTACTTTGATGTGATATGTATAAAAAAATGTATGTTGTGTAATAAAACCTATGCCAAAAGTTTGGTTCATTTTACTTTTCCAGCTGTTAGATATATAGCGTGGGAAAGTATTGGAATTATGGCAAATTTGACTCTCTGGGGTTTGACTTTGCAAATTTTTATGCTTTGAGATCCCTGAACCCAAAAAATTAAAAAAAAAACAAATAAAAATGAAAAGACATTTCTTGGAGGTGTGTGTTGGATTCTATTTTGTAAACATCTTAGGATGGGGTAAAGTTAAGAAACTTTTAAAATTTGGCATAGTAATTTGTATATAAGGAACATTAATGCTATTAAATTTCAGTAGTTACTAGTCAAGATGGTATGGAGATTGAAGGTGTCATGTGACATATCTGAAGTGCAGTTATATTTACAATTTTTTAAAATAAGTTAATTTTTTTGTAACATTGCTTGGCACCACATGCAATTTTAACTTTATGCTAGTGTATTAGTGTTTCTTAAACATAAAAAAAAATCCAGAAACTACTGGAGTTTTTGACTCTAAGTAGAGTTAACATTTTTGACTAAGTAGAGTCAAAAATGTTAACTCTGATAATTATTTTTTATATTAAAAACTTTTTAATAATTGTCATTAGTGGCATTTTCTTGACTATTACTTTGTTCATTATTTCATATATTATGTAATTATTATATTATATATTTATATAATGTATATTATGTATGCTGTTAACACAAATTAACAAATTTTAAACTATATTTTATCATATACTTTTTAAACAAAGTTTTTAGAATATAATTATATTTCATATGTTTTATTGTGTACTGCCTGTTTTTAATATTAATTAATATATTGCATTATTCTGGTTGATAAATGATTTCCTTTTTTTACTTAGAAATTGTTTTTTCATTTTATGATTCCTGATAGTTGTTTCTTACATTTTTTTTTTTTTTTGTACAAGGCTTAAATAATTTGTGACAGCATTCTCTCTTGGTCTGATTTGAGGGCTGATTAGTAAACTGCCCATTCCCTCATACATAGTTAATTAACTATGTATCTTATGGAATATTTGTTTCAAGATGCTGCTGGAGGAGTTGAAGTTACTAAGGAGAGACAATATTGTCCCTCCTTAGTAACTTAATCTTATTCTTCAGTGTGAATGACCACTATATAAGTACTACTACAGTAGAGCGTCGTTTATCCGAAACGTCAATTATCCGAAAGAATTCCAGTCGGCAAATTTTAATTTTCACCAGTGCTGTGGCACTGCAATCTTTGGCTATGTCTTGAGCTACTCAAATATTTTACATTTTTGATACTAAATTAACTTCTGAAGTATAAGTTTTTATTGTTTTTATATTTTTCAATATATTTATTTTGTTTGTACAAAATAAAATAATAATTTTTAACGATACAATAGTCTTCGTTAGGCTTAACATTGACGAAAATTCAACGCTAAGCGACACGCAACGGAGAAAAATTTCAACATGCGATAGGTTAATATGTTTTTTCGTACATAATCGGTTATCCGAACAACCCCATTGATTTTCCGAACAACCCCAGTCCTCAATTGATTCGGATAAACGACGCTCTACTGTATATACTTTGCTATATAAGTATACTGAAGGCAAAGAGTGATAATTTCTAGCCATCCATTGGTCAGGAATGAACATTAATTGTTAATTGGCCTGATCAGTAGCAATGAGTAGATAAATGATGATGAATTGGCCCAGGTTTCCTCCTGGCTGACAAGCTGACCATTTTCTAGGTTTTCTTGATGTGAAGCGTGAAAGATGAAACTTATGAAGTAGATAGGTCAGTCTTTCTATTTGACTCCAATAAGAATAATTTTTTTTTTACTTAAGTTAAATTAGATTAAAATCTAAATATACATGAAAAATAACAAATGTTCATAAAATCTCAGATTTTTTCCAGGTTATATTTCTGCTGCAAATTTAATTAATTGAATGAATTGAGGTAGTGCTTTGATGTCTCAAGATTTTAATTCATTATTTATTTTCTAAGATTAGATTTGTAATCAGTAATGTNTTAAATCAATTTCTAAACAGAGATCAAAGACATTAGATCATGTCAAGAAATTGCTTTTGCTTTGGATAACTGAAAAACAGTGTGCCGGCGACAGTGTATCGGAAGAAATTATTTGTGAGAAAGTTAAAAGGATAACATGCTAATCTCATGAAAAATCAAGCAGAAACTAGTGAGGAAAGCGAGATGTTTAAAGCCAGCCATTTTTTTTACATGAGAATGGATTAATTATTTTTACATTACTTCTTATGGAAAAGGTTGGTTTGGTATACGTCCTATTCGGTATAAGTCCAAACATCGGGAACGGATTAAGGTCGTATACCGAGGTTCCACTGTATTTAAAAATAAAATGCAATTGCTTGCAGATGAATTAAAAATTATTTTAATGTTTAATATTTAAATATACTGTGATTTACTAATTTATTTATTTATAATTTTAGGGATCTAGGTGTGACTAGTGAAATGCAAACAAAAATGAATATGACATATATATTGTTTATTTCTACTGAAAATAAAGTTGGTGGTTGTGCAATTGTAGAAAAAATTAGTCAAGTAAGGCTAAATATAATAATTATTTCAGTAATTTTAAATTAATTTTGTTTTCTTGTATAGGTTTAACAATAAATACAATATTATTTAAATCTTTGAAATCTATGTTTTAGTTTTAATGTAAGTTTTACATCAGTTTTAATAAAGGCATAAATTTGTTGCTTAAACACTATGTAGTGTAATAAATTCAAACACTTGGCATTCTTTCATTTTTATTTTTATTTAGTTGATATGCGTTTTAAATTACATGTTTTAGGCGTAACATGTCTCTTCAGCCAACTTGGGATTTTTTACAAACTGGGTTCTATTAGGTGAGTATATAATATGTATATGGCTAACACATTTATTATTGTATATCTTCTTTCTTTCTCTCTTTTTTTTTTTTAATCCAATACAACTAAAGGGTAAGTATACTGCCAGTGCAGAACTCTACATTTATCTATTTTTGACAAGACTATGTCTTGTTTATAAAATCGTACTGTCATTTTATGTTACCAGCATAGAGGTATGAAGGAGTACATGTTGAGAGTTGATATCTGGCACAGAGTATTAGGTGCCCAAATCATTTGCACATAAAAAAAATCTAGACTTGTAGATAGTCGGGGGACTGAGAACTGAGTCAAAATAAAATTCAAAATAGCGACCCTCTTCTACAAACAGACAAAACAGGCACCTCACCCCACCGAAGGCGGGTGGTGAGAGTACCACCTACAGTCACTCTCAGAAGTGAACTCTGACCTTAGGGCTGAACACACAGTTTCTTCTATGTTAAATAAAATTTATAATCTAATTTTGTAAATTTGGGAGTACTTCAAATATGACATTAAAACAGGGTGTCATTACAAGTAAGTTTTTTAACATTATCTAGTATGGTATTTTTGAAACTGTGCCAGTAATTTTTAGTAATTCAAACACAAATTATTTATTGTATTTATTCAGACACTTGGCAAATCTCATCATTAAATTTTATTCAGATCTGAAATACAATAGAATAAATTCTGCCTTTCATGATCATTGCACCCTGAGCGATTGTAAAATTGGTAAAGATAACATACAAATACTCCACAANGCCTTTCATGATCAATGCACCCTGAACGATTGTAAAATTGATAAAGATAACATACAAATACTCCACAAAGAAAAAGAAACATATCATAGAAAGTTCAAAGAAAGCATAGAAATTATCAAAAGTAATAAATGTATAAATAAAAATCTAAGTATTAAAATAAACAAAAACTGGCTCAATATCCTATAAAATTAAAAAATCTTTTAAAAAAATATTTTTATGTAAAAAAGTATTTTAAAAATGTTGCCACAAGGTGGCCTACTTGTCATGTGACTGTGTAGTAGACAGTGGGCAAGCTCAACTGGGGGGGAAAAAGGGGGAGGAAAGGTCAACAAAATATGTTTGTATGGAAGGACTACTTCAATTTTGATGAAAGACGAGTATGTAAATTTTAGTATTGTTGTTAAATTGATTTAAACATGATAGTAAATGTATGAGAAAAATTTTAAAATTATTTAAATTTTATAACAATTCAAAATGAATAACTAGGTATGTAATTTGTAGTATTGTTATCAGAACACATGTATACAAGATAATTAATGTAAAATCTTTAGGTAACATGAAGTTAAATATAAAAAAATTCTTTAGATAATAAGAAGTTGAGTGTTTTAAAGGTTCAAACCATACAATAATTTGAAATTTAATGGATGACAAGTAAAATGAACAAAGGAATTTTATGGTTTTACCTTTCAATAATCTGTAATCTAAAAGGTATATTTTTAAAAAACATAACCTTATATGTTTGTTTATACCATTGTAACTTTTGAACTTTTATTTTAGTTGGCTGAAGAGGGGCAAGGAATGCCTGAAACATGTACAAATGAGATGAACACATATCAACTGAATAAAATTTAATGATGAGATTTGCCAAGTGTCTGAATAAATACGATAAATAATTTGTGTTTGAAATACTATTATCTAGTATAGTAAAATTGTGGGACCAATAAAAATTTGACGTTATAATAGGGTTGTCATTACATCTGATGATGTTATAATCAGGTTAAACTGTATATTGTTTGTGCAAAATTAAAAAAATAATTTTGGACGATACAATAGCCATGATTATTTTTTTCAAAAACAGAAAATTTTCATTATACATTGACGAAAAATCAACCCAGGCCAACATTCAACGGAGAGAAATTTTGAAATTGGATAGGTTAATTTCATCGAAAATGTATCATGGACGACCTCATGGTTGTGGCTGGTGAAGTTTGAACGATCGCGCCCAAAAGCAGTGATAACAAAGATGATTGGAGAATGAGAACGAGACTCGCATTGAGCGTCAAAGTGATTCCGCTTAATAGTGAGTCTTCGAGACGTAGTCTTGTCTCAAATATGGTTTTGCCATTTTACTTGTTATTATTTTAGAATTTATGTTGTTAACATTCTTTCTTATCCTTGTCCAAGAAGCAATATGGTGTTGAATCAAATTTCATTAAGAATTCTGCCATTTTTACCATTTCTTCTTTATATAAAATTTAATATTACCAATAGAGCATAAATGGTTGTATCTTCTTTTGCTTTGCATTATATCGTCATTCTGTTTTTATCCCTTTTTACTATGCAATATTGTACTAATTAACATATTCTTCAATCATGAACTGGCCATCTTACAGCATAAGAATATGTTGATTAGTACAATATTGCATAGTAAAAAGGAATAAAAACAGAACTATGATATAATAACATACAATAATGTGTAAGCCATATACATATTATACTCTCACCTAATAGAACCCAGTTTGTAAAAAGTCCCGAGTTGGCTGAAGAGGGGCATGTTATGCCTGAAATGTGTAATTTAAAACAGGTATGTGGCCGGAGGGTCGGCACCTCTTTGATGCCCTGTCAGGACTGACACCACTGTGATCCGATTAATGTGGAAGCCGAGACGACTGGTTGATTCAGTCATGTGAGTGGCCACGTGTGCAGGCGATCAGATCCAGGATCTAAATTTGGGTTGAGAGACAGCATACCGGAAGTAAAATACTCAGATACGAAAGTTAAAATCGTCAAAGTTTTCCTGTATAAGTGCAAATTTCTGTGCTCAATCAGTACTCTGCCGGATTTCCACTGTGCCTAGAAGAACTTTCTTGATCCAGACCTGTCCAACGATAAAAATCCTCACCCTCAAGATCCTAATCTCAACCTCAATTCGAGAATCTCAAATCAAGAATCATCCCCATCAACGCAGGTATTTCCCGACTCGTGAACAATTGTAAACTCTCTCTCTCTTGCAATTGCTAGCTAGATAGGTTAAGTCGGTATATTGTTTCATGTATTCCTCCTCTTTGTTGAAAATAAACGGGCATTTAGTTGTTAATTAATCCAGGAGTGACTGTGATGACTAAATTTTTTGGCTGTCAAATCCGATATCAGTGTGACATCACTTGGCTAAAAGGTCAACAGATCACAGGAATGCGTCACTTTTGCCGTCAAGAAAGTGTAAGGGGAGATTTTCTCAGGTAGCTGAGAACAACAATTGTTGAGCAAGTATGATGTCATTGACAATTGGTTTTTGTTAAAATTCTCAGTATCACATCATCCAGTCTTTCTAAAATTGGGCTTGTTTTGATTAGCAAGATTGATTTTAATTTTATAACAAAATGATAATTTTGTTATACTGTTGATATAAAATGATTACTCTCTCTCTCTCTCTCTCTCTCTCTCTCAATCTCTCTCTGTTATTGTTACGTGGTCAAAATCAAACCACAATGACACAAGTATCAAAGTAAATATAAATGTTTATTTTTTCAGCCAGTCAAATTTTTGCTGGTCAATACGTTTTTGCTATCTAGCAGTTGTTATGCACCCTAATTATTTTGCACTTTGGCGCGATCAACTCTAACCTGATCTTTAACCATACTTTATTTGTATATGTGGGAGGGGATATTCTTACTGGTATGTGACTTTGTGGAAGATATGGTTTGTAGTAGAGGTTGTGTCTAAGATTCTTGGATTCAGCGATGTCGTTGAGGTTCTGGAGCATGCGAATATCAGAAAAATTGGGAAACAGAAAATTGTGAATATCATGGTGAAGAAGATAACTATAATATTAATAGATGTTTGGAGAACTGTCGATCAAACTGTTCATTGGTTGGACTCTGGTTGCTCTGAGATGTTTTTCTCTATGCAGACTACTCTGACAATAATTTCTTTATTGGTCCGGGTCTTTTTCGGTTGTTATTCGTATTGTTATCCCCTTTTGTCTGGCAGGGTCTTGGAAGCTTAAAACTCTTCCATCAGGGAGTTTTATTGTTTGTCGCTAAGTTTATTTCTAACCCCTGGTCTTTTATTATATCTCTTCCTATTAGTCCATCAAGTGGTTGCATAATTTCATCGTCTACAATGTAACATGGGTAGGAAAATTGCAAGGGTCCGATTTGGAATAGGAAATTGTTTTTATCATACATGTTGATTCAGTGTTCAGTGATGCTTCAGAAGGGTATCTCACTCCAGTTATTTTTCCTTTTGAAGGTGCCTAATTGGTGCGCCAGTGATCTTGACAATAGTGTCATTTTGGGACCTGTATCTTTGGCTAATCGAGTCGCTATGTCAGCAATGAGACAATGTATATAGGCTCCGCATTGTGCGGTCTGAAATTATGATGAGTTTTTGCATTACTGAATCTAGATATTCTGATCCTGGGTGTATTTTTTCTCTCTTGTCTAAAATCGCCTCTAAAATTTCTGTTGACTCTCCTCTCATATTGCTTTATCTGGGTTTGTGATTGAGTCATCTGGATTCTTCAGTTAATTCTTGAGTCGCCTAAATTGTGTCTTGCCTCATATCGTCTTGGTCTGTGTCGAGAATTGTATGTTTGATTTCACATGCCACCTATTATGTTTCTTGGGTCATCAAATGGGTCCCTATATCTGTTTCTAGCATTGTTGCCTCTTTGCATGGGGAATTTGATTTAACTTTTCTGACGTCGTAGTTC